GTGCAGCATGCAGTGCAGTATGCAGTGTAGCATGCAGTGCAGCATGCGGCCCGTTGCCATGGATGCAGTGAGGTCCCGGCCTACGGTTCCAGTATCGAGCTGGAGGCTAATAGATGCAGTGCAGCATGCAGTGCAGCATGCGGCCCGTCGCCATGTATGCAGTGAGGCCCGGGCTACGGTGCCAGTATCGAGCTGGAGGCTAATCTCTGGGGACAGAGTCGGCTGGGCACGGAAATGAGCTCCAGTGAGCACGATCGGTCTCAGCGACGACGAAATGAAGGCTGTGGGCGCAGGCTTATGGAGTTCGTGCACTGGGTATGCTTATTTGTGCTGTTTAGATTGGGATGGCTGGTGCGGCAAGGGTCAAGGATGCATGTTTGTTGTTTTTAATGCCACAGGAGGTGTGGGTTGCACAAGAAGCACAGCTACGTTCAAAGCTCATGCTAACTGCACTGAACAGTTGATTAGTTCGCAGTCCTACATCTTATACTTCCACTCGCTGTCCTGCGTTACTCCACAAACGCTCTTCGGTATCGCCGGGGTGACTTTTTTCACCGGCGTCCGGTGACTGGGTACGATAAGCTTTTAGTTACCAAGAGAATCAAGGATGTGCCTGTGTTATCGGAGAGCTCAACTCCGACTGACTTGCTCCCCCCAAACCCCCCTACATCTCCCCAACCTGTCAGCTAAATCTGAAGCGTCGCCACCGACCTCAAGGCATTTCAGAAGAGGATGAATTTGACAAGTGCTCCTGGTCTGGAGACAGTTGCCGCAGTACTCTCCTCAATGGTGGTGCTACAATTCCCTTAACGCGCGTTCGGGTAGGGGGTCAAATTGACCCCTCCCCCCGAAGGTTTTTCCAAAATGGTTTCGGAACCGCGCGGCGTAGCCACACCAAATTTTGTATAGCTGTAGACAGTTAAATAGCAGATCATTTGGCATCACAAATTGAGATGTACCTTGTAGGGTGGCTGACCGATGGCAGGTCAAAGTCAGGCCATGGTTCCAGCGAAGGCAATTTCTAGGGAATCCTGCAATCTGATCCAACAACGGGGTGTTAGACGAAGCCATACATATCTGAGATGCTTTCTTAGGCAGCACAACAGTTGTATGGGATAGTTTCTGGTGCTCATTTAGAGTTTATTGATGACAGGAACCGCATTATACATATTCCATGGACTTCTTAGAGGTCAGAATAGGTCATTGATCTAAAATGACGCAGGTCAACATTTTGTTTTAGGATCATACCACCCTAGCGTAATCTTTGTCGCTTAGTCAAATGCAAAACTCAAAGCACTCTTGCATATTTTTGGCCACCATGACCTTCAAAAGGTTAAAAAAGGTCACTGATCTTAAATGAGAATGTGGTATTTTGCTTAGAAACGGTCATCTACGTTCTGGGGGCACTCTGGAGACCAACCTGGAACTTGACCTTGTTTGACCTTATCTGACCCAAAGGCCATGACCTAGAAACCTGAAACTTTGACCTAAGCGAGTTCACATACAGGTCAACACATTCTGTAAGTTTGGTGTCTCTAACTTTCTTAGTTCCCGAGATCTTAGGGGGGTCAAATTGACCCCACCCGAGCGAAGGCTATCTAGCCGGCCACCCGGGCGCACGTTAACATACAATCGCGTGAAATAGGCTATAACGAACCACGTTGCAATGACCACGTATAGATAACGCGTTTAATTCGCGGCACCGTATCTGTAGACGGATCTACCGATGATGATCATGATTTGGGACTTTGAGCGCTAACACCACATTGCGTTGTTGCTGTTGTGCGTCGGACCGAATCCACGCTGCAACACTCGAGAAGGACAAGCAGTAGATATGACCCGGTGTAAGTGGCGGAGAACAGTGTGTCACTAGAGCGACTAGCGTGGAATTTGGGAGCAGTTACCCTTGGCAAATGATGCGAGGCCCTGAAATGGATCATACGAGGGTCTAAAACGGCTTTGGTGTGGACTTTTCTTGGCCATCCCAGCGCAAGCGGTTGACTTATGCAGCGACCTCTGATGGCTGAAATGCCAAAGAAATTTGAAACGCAAGAGGCATCCTCAAAGTATTCTAATGACACAAGACCGCTACCTAAGCGAGTGTGCGATCGCTACCTAAACGAGCGAACGTTGGCTGGCTATGTGGCAGCGTCGTGAGGTATTGCCCATCCTTGGAAGGAAGTTCACGCTTTCTTTGCGCTTGCACAGCGGCGGCGTGGGACGTGCGCTAGGTTTTGTGACCTCACGTTAGTGATTTATGCGGTCAGTGATATGATACGAATCAACTAAATTTTTCTCCACGAATATTAAATTTTTGGCGACGGGGATAGCACTGCTAGCCTTCCTTTGATATTTTGCGATAAAAGGGATCTGTCTACCCGCACCATGTCTGGGAACGGCGGACATCGTTGGGTCTTCGTTCCAATTTAGGCTGTGGGAGTTTCAAATCTATGCGTTGTCAGTGGGGTGGAAGCAAAGGGACGGTCCATGTCGTCAAGTTCTGCTGCTGCATTGCCTCCGGACATCGTTGTTTTCGCTTGGAGAAGCAAGTTTGTCTGGCCTTGCCCGTGCAGCCCCACGTTCCAAACCACCTTTCAGGTGACAGCGCAGTGGGACCGTTCCGGCAGGGCTCTAGGGATTTTGAGCTCATCGACAAGCCTGGAGAAGTGAGCACGCTACTTTCGAAGTTCGCGCAAATGCCGCCAGGGCCCTGAAAGTTTTGACACTTTTATGGTCAATCACCGTGAGATGACGCGCCTACGAGGACCACGCCCTCTCAGGGACGCCCAGATGCCAGGCCCATGGCCCAGGCGCCGCAGGGACAACGCTACGGTGATGAGATCATTCCACGACCGCTGCAAGGAAAACTGGCGGACGTCGGCTTGAAATAGTGTCCTATAATGACACTCAGTTCACGTCTATCAGGTTTGCGGAATCCCTAAATAGTGTCTGTGTTCGTTACGTTAAGTTGCCCCGCATCACCCGACAGGATCGGGAGCGGCGGAGCGGGTGAACCGCACCAGCACAGGGGCGCCGCAGTCAACGGACGCGGACGGTGCGGATCGCGCGGAGCGTCCGCAGCGGCTGCTGCGGAACTACCGAGGCAACGTCCAGGCGACGACTGGTCGCAGTCCAACGGAGCTGCTGCGCGGTTACCCCACGCCGAGGAAGCTGAGCGTCGCCCTGAACGTCAGGGGACGTCTTCCACCGGCCACGGCTTCCACGGTGCGGATCGCGCGGAGCCTCCGCAGCGGCTCCTGCGGAACTACCGAGGCAACGTCCAGGCGACGACTGGTCGCAGTCTGACGGAGCTGCTGCGCGGTTACCCCACGCCGGGGAGCTGAGCGTCGCCCTGAACGTCAGGGGACGGCTTCCACCGGCTGGTGACCTGTTCGAGCTGGGGGTCACGTGGCGCGAGCGGCGCCGGCGGCCGGGTTCAACGGGGCGCGTCCGGACGCGTGCTCGGTGCCCGAACAGGTCGACGGTGCGAAACCGTCGGACTTTACGGTGGACTTTGCGCGGCCCGGTGCTCAGGGTGTGATCCGTGGACTAACGGTGCGCGAGTGGCTGAAGTTGGCCCGCGGAGGCTGTGAACCGCCAGGCCGTACGACAGTCTAGACGACCTGTAGGGTCCGCTAGCCCTTTGCGACTTTGGCTAAATGTGTCGGGCAGGTACCGCTTGACTTGCTCTGTTAGGTGCTGGGCTGAGGACGACCCTTGAACACGTATGTTTTTATTTTTCTTTGTTGTTGGGTGATCTCTTCTATTCGTAGGAAGGAGCAAATGTAGTATCATGGCGTCACCTGCCGTGTTTTATCACGAGCGCTGGCTGCCTAGGTGGCAGCTGAGCAAGCATTTTCCGAACTTGGAAGGAAGTCGGTGTTTTGTTGTTTGTTTTTTTTTTTGCTTGAAGAATGACGGTGTCGGACGTGCGTTAGGCTTTGTGGCTTTGTGCAGATGTTTCATCTTGTCAGGAATGCAATCTTAATCCGTTAAGTCTTCCTTTGCGGACTTAACAGATACCCTCTCCCCCCTAAAACGGGCTTCTCCCCGGGTTTGGCGCTTTTTTCTCAGAGTACGAGGTTGCCCCCCAGCGCCTCCCATGGAAGTAAGGGCCTCGTAAAATCACGCCCTTGCAAAAAACTCGGCCACACGCTCTCACTATGCTATATGTCACTGCTGCGTTAAATCCTTGCTCCTGCTTGCCGCAAATGTCGGCATTGCCCTATCCAAATGGCGTGCCAGCCGCGTCTGCACAGCATCTAAGCTGCGCTGCCTAAATATAAACTACGTTCCTACCTTTAATCACCATCGATGTCTGCCTGGATTATTTACGTTTGCTTTGAAACATTCTCGAAGATTAACATCAGCGTTTTTCGTTGTTTTACGCCAAACAGTGTAAAACAGGCATCTGCGTTCCTACTACCTGCGACTTCGTTCTGCCAAGCTGATATGCTAAACTAACTGTTCTAAAACGTATCTGACGCTACTGTAAAACTTCACGCCACAGGCCTCGAGGTGCACAGAAGTTTGATGCCCACACCAACAGGAATTCGGTTATATTTCTCAAATATTCAGTTCATTAAACTGACATTCGGTTTAGCTAAGCTCCATTCCGTTTACACCGTGTCTGCGAAATCTAACTCCGCGCCCTGCCAGCCAAACTACAAATGGTCCGTTTTCAAGGATCTGCACACAAAAAATGCGCAAAACGGGCGCGTCATGGTGCATTCCGAGCTCTGTCTGTGCTAAATTGTACTGGCCAGTGTCCACAAAACGTGAAATAGTTGGAAAATGCATGCACCTAATCATTACTTATATACGTTGCGAAGGTCATTTCAGGTCAACAATAGCCCGGTCAGGCAAATTTGCTGTAGCTATGTACATAAAGCACAAATACGCTAATAAAAATCCCAGTACAAAACTTTTATACACATATGTATATATATATATATATATATATATATATATATATATATATGACATAACACTGTACTCACACATGTCGCGGGCCCTGCCCATGGTGATGTTGTCCCCACGCAGAACGGTTACTTGTAGTACTTGGCACGAGTCATGGTCCACCTCGAATATTTGGAACGGGTCGAAGTCCGGGCTGAAAGCACATCGTCGTCACGGTCTCAGAGAGAGAATGTGGTTTGCGGTCACGCCGTCACATATGGATACAGACAGGAAGAAGGTGTTCATTTTAAAGCTTTTCAGTTTAATTTTCTTTCTTTCCCCGTTGGTTGGCGTGACTTCATGCCACTACGACGCCTTGCCGATCTTGACCTGTTCCCGACTCGCAGTCTGCAGCTTTTTTGCGAGTGGAAAAGTTTACACTTTCCAAGCAGATTGTACGGGAAGGTTAAACAGCAGAAACAATAGCTGCTGCAATGTTGCTGAAACACCCCATCTGTTCAATCGGCCTCCATTTAAGAGTTTTGAAAATATATGTTACAGCTTTTAAAATATTCATTCATTTATCTAGCAGTTCATTTCGCTTAACACGCGCCCGGGTGGCAGGCTAGATACCCTTCGCTCGGGTGGGGGGGGGGGGGGGGAATTTGACACCCCCCAAGATCTCGGTAATTAAGAAATCTAGAAACACCAAATTTACAGAGTGTGTTGACCTGTACGTGAACTCGTTTAGGTCAAAGTTTCAGGTTCCTAGGTTAAGACCTTCGGGTCAAAAAATGTCAAACAAGGTCAAGTTACAGGTTGGTCTCCAAAGTGCCCGCAGAACCTAGATAACCGTTTCTAAGCAAAAGGTCACATGCTCATTTAAGGTCAGTGACCTTGCTCGACCTTTTGAAGGTCAAGGTGACCATAATAATACAAGATTGCTTTGAGTTTTGCATTTAACTAAGCGACAAAGATTACGCTAGGCAGTACGTTCCTAAACAAATCTTGACCTGGGTCATTTTAGGTCAATGACCTATTCTGACCTCTAAGAAGTCCATGAATATGCGGTCGCGGTAAAATGCGGTTCCTGCTATCAATAAACTCGAAATGAGCGCAAGAAACTGTCCCATACAGCAAGCCCGAGAGTAACAAAACAGGTTGGTTTTGACCTTGGTGTGACTTTCATACCTGACCTTAGGTCAATGCAATATGCTCATTCAACTGTTATGTTGCCAAAGAAAGCATCTCAGAGATGCATGGTTTCGTCCAACACTCAGTTGTTGGATCTGATTGAAGGATTCCCTAGAAATTGCCTTCGCTGAAACCATGGCCTACTTTGACCTGCCATAGGCCAGCGACCCTACAAGGTACGTCTCAATTTGTGATGCCAAATGATCCGCTATTTAATTGTCTACAGCTATGCAAAATTTGGTGTGGCTACGCCGCTTCGTTCGGAAACCATTCTGGAAAAACTTTGGGGGTCAATTTGCCCCCCCCCCCCCCACCCGAGCCCGTGTTAAGCAACCCGCAGGTTCAATAGGTACCCAATTAAGGATGCAACCAAGGATGCAGCCAATAGGTTGAAAACAACAAATACAAACGCGCAAACACACGAACACACACTATGGTACCCACAGTGCTGGCAAACTTGCGTGCATGGGAAGGGAATGATAGCGGATGAACAGTCAGCTGCTGGGATATCTTGAAGGAGGCGGTTGTACGTGACGAGAATGCCGACATAAAATCCTGTTTTTTCAGGGAGTGGCATGGAATGACAGGGAAATTTGTCTACCTGTTCCTCAGAATTTTACAAGGGTGCCATCAGGGGGTACAAAGATGTATGCTGGCCAAAAAGGCGAGTGGCGGGCGGGTTCAGTTCAGACCGCTAAAGCTACAGGCCTTCCGGCGGGCTCATGCTAAGGCTCATTCGGCCTGCGGCTTCAGTCGGTAACAGGCAACGTAAATGCTGCTGAAAAATGCTGCAACACCGGGAGATATAGTCGTTATTAACAGAAAGACAGGTGCCCCGCAGTTGGCTTCCTTTAAAGGACCGCAAGTAAAACAAACACCATGTGTTCTCCTTCCAGAAAAGGCTATTTCCAAACTTTCAGTTGTTGCATACACATACTCAGTTACGTCACGCAAATAGGAAAACCAACGCAATGCAAGGCAAGGACGCATGATGTGGATATCTATCGTCCCAGTGCTTGTCGTTCTGAAACATTCTCATCCGGAAAATTGGGTACCACGCACGAACCTCGCATTCCGGGCACATCCACGGATTGTCGTTCAGCTGATGCAGCTAGCAGCTGCGAAGAAGGAATGGCTTTTGCCCAGTGCGTGCCCCCTCATCGAATTTAAAGGCAAAGATGCCAATCCTTCTTATGATATCTGCTCCCAGTGGTGGCACAAGCCCCTGGGGCAGCTTACAGCTTAGGCATTAAAGCGGGACGTGGCCATCCAGGTAGATGAATGGCTACAGCCTCTGCGTGCTCTTCTTTTTACGTGTTCTAATGCTAATTGAGCCCTGACTTAACGCTCAGATATAAAAACGCAACATTAATAGCATTGCGTGATTTCCATGTTATCGTGCAATTGCTTTGTGCAAATTGTGACATTTCCCTACGTGATTAGAGATATAGATAAGTTGGGGATATTAATTCGTTACACTGTGTGAAAAGAAGCTCGATCACGATCTAATCTAAACTTATGGAGCACTCTTTAAAAAAAAATATGTCGGAGTGGTATCTGATACTAGGTTAGAACGCGCCTAAAGCGCTTTAATGCAAGTGCCACCACAGCCTGCTACGCGAAAAGCAAGACAAAGTACCCACAGATAACATAAGATGCATTACTTCAAGGCACAATCAGATTACCTTTCCATGGAGGAGAGGATGTTCCAGTTTGAACACATGATGCCAGCTGCTGTCTTGAGCTGGGGTTCAGTGGTCAGCCGGAAAGTCGGTGAATGCTTCTGAAGAACACGCTCCGTTAGTCTGGAGCCTGAAATAGTCGAGACATTGCTGAGCAGTCGAGCCTCACGCTACACCCGTGCGCCCTAGAACACCAGGAGCCCAAGGTGGCTTGTGGGCTGGCGGGAATGCCCCGCCGGATGGTACATCGACTTTTAAAATGGCTGCAGAGCAAGAAGTTGGCCGGGTTACCAACAAAACACGTGACAACCTCGCTATTTCAAAGAATGCTTCCTTCAGATAGTGAAAAAACTGAATATCATCACAGGCCAAAGCCCTTGGCACGGGATGACTTTTGGGTGTTCTCACCCGTCACCATCCCGGCGTATCAGGCCAGCAACTGTTCCATATTTGGAGGCGAGAGAAAACATATATTTTTCCCCCGTGTCAGCTTGGTAAATTATTAGGAGGCCAACCTGAAGACCCGACACCCCCTCCCTAACTTATTTTTTCTGATTGGATTGAGCCCACTGTATTTTGATAAAAGGCAGCATATGTTTTTGTTGTTTCTGTGTAAGTTATAAAAAGTATCTAGTGTAAGTAGCATAGAAATCACGCGGGGGCGGATCCACGGAGCGAGCACTCGACGAACGCATCTCTTCTGATCGGCACTTGAAGGCGCCCTTTTAGAGACCGCCTTGTAAGCCATTGTAAACTAAGAGCGCCGATGATTTATTCCATGCAGCCGTTCAACGCCTTTTTCTGCAGTTTATTGACCTCAAAATGCAAACAGAATTGAGCTCACGATGGCTCCTGGTTTCTGTTCTGGTTACAAGGTAAAAATAACAATAAAACGAAGAAAACCGTGTCACTTGTTAACAAGTAAGCTATATCCGGGGATTTTGGCCGGGATCACGATAAGATGGGCTTTTGTCAACCTTGTGTTCCTCCTTGGCAAGGCTCTTGCTTCGCCCCGGCCTACACACAAAAGCAGATCAAGTCGTATACGTTGCATGATGGGCAGTGAAGTGTCCGTTGGGCCAATCCATACCTAAGGCAGGCAGCTTCACGGGGCTATTTTTCTGCGATGGTGCGGTGTGAGGGAAGATAATCCGGAAAAAGATACTGTTGCAGGTGTCCAACACGTGTTTAATACACCATGTAGTAGTCACGCTGGTCCAAAAGTATGCAACAAAGCAGCCATACGATCAGTTCGCAATCAGTTATGCGGGAGACATATGGGCTAGAGCAATGGCCACCGACGGCGGACAGGAGCAGGGCCCGGATAAGGAACATATGAGAGATGGGCCTTATTATGCGGCTTCATTCTTAAAGGAGAATCTCCAGTTTTATGGCTCTTCTCCCGTTGTTTCTAGCAGTTTCAGGCTTCCGAATTTGTTTTCGCCTAAAATGCTGCGACAAGTCCTATTTATCTCTTGAAAAGCAGCCAGCGAAATGAAGGCACATGAAAAATATTTCGCACCATGAGCCATCGATCCCCTTTCAAAACTCTCACGAGGCTATGTCCAGGCCATATTTCGGCATCTACACTGTGGAGGCAGGTGCTTTCTTAATGACCCAAACTGCCTACCTGTTCGTGGAATTTTGCCTCGCCAGGAAAGACTATTAAAATGGACGAATGATCTAGGGAAGCTGGATAGCCTTATTTGCCAAAGTACAGATGAGTCGAATAGGCAAGATTGCGCACCAGTGAGAAACAGCTCTGGGTGCATGTCTAGCATAGCAGCATGACATTTGAAAAAGAGCAATAACAACCTTCATCCCTAACCCTCCCCCCCCCCCGCTCATCGGGCTCGATTTCCGGAAAAAGTTCCTGAAGTACACACTGAGCTTGCCCCCCCCCCATACTTTTTGAAACGTTCCTACGCCTATGCATTGGGTCGGGATCAATTTGATTCCTCCCCTTCCGAGGATTTTCCAAAATAATTTCTGACCGTTGCGGCGTAACCGTTCTAGCGTTGGTAGGTGTACAGCCATGTACGACAATTAAGTGCTTCTATGGGGAGGCAACCATCCTTTTAGATTAAAGACAAAGTTTTGGCCCCGCTTCGCTGCGCCAAACTTTGCATAGCTCTGGACAACTGAATAACGGACCTTTAAGTATAAAAATTGTTATGTGCATGATCTGTTGCCTGACCTATGACAGGTCGAAATTAGGCCATGACTATCAGCAAATACAATTCCTGTGGAATCGTTCAAGCTGATACGATAACGTGATATTTAAAGGAGTATCCCACATTTTTCGTATTTCAAGTGGTATCGCTACATCAGCGGTGTCGCTACATCGCTACATCAGGCGGTATCGCTACATCGCTACATCAGGCGCGTACGATTTCTTCAGTAATACCAGTTTTCTTAACACTCTTTTGAATGGCTCACAATTTCGATTTGAAGTAGCCGACCGTGTAGGAGAAATCTCATTTGACTCCATGTTTACCGCTATGAAAGTAATACGCATTTGCGCATCTGCGAATAAGTGCATTTGCCATGCGTTTTCCAACGTGTGTGCTCTATAATGCTTGCAACACATTAATGTGTGAAAAAGTTTGTGCTATAGATGCTACGTAAGCTTGAAATGCGCTAATTAGAGAGAAAATGTGCCAGCATAAAGGAATTGTCCCGGGAATTCCGCAAAACGTTATGCTATGACTTTGATTCCTCCCCTTGATTCCTCTAGCCATGACGGAGGTCATAGCAAGATGATTTTAATGATTAGATCGGTGGGGGCCCTGAGCCTTCAGAGAGTAATGTCAGTGGCCGGTGGATTGCTGGGAGTCAAAGTGGTTCCTCCAGACAGACGCTTGAAGAACAAGGTCCCTGAACATCAAGAGAGGCACTAAGCAGACATGCAGCCTTCGGTACTTAATGAATCCCCGAGTGTCCAGAATGCCTCAGACCGGTCAGGAAGTCCAGCGAACAGCCAAAAGGGTTCTTGAGTGATGGAAGGGGCCTCCCAGGGGCCAAAAAGGCCCCGCATAGTTGAGAATACCCCAAGTGCCCAGAGGGTTTTGGGGATGAAAATCGCCCTGGTGACGGAATGGGCTAATGAGTGGCCGACAAGCCCTCAATAAGCAGAGGAGTCCTTAGGTGGCCAAAAGGGCCGAATGCTACCAGAGGTGCCCATGATGACCAGAGGTACCTTGCACTAGGACTGTTCAGTGGCCGGCCCCAAGTGACTCAGTGAGACCATAAGGACCAGAACAGCCCAGAGCAGTCAAACCGGCCTATAAGCGGTCAGAAGGATCCTGTGCACGTTAAGGGTCCTAAGCAGTGTGTGCGACCCCCGAGCGGCAAAAGGGATCCCTTATATTTTTAAGGTCCTCTTAGTGTCTAGAAGAGATTTCTGGTGGCCAGGGGTTCCGTAACCAGCCTGCTAGTTCTTTTCCTCAACAGCATATATTCACCCTTGCCCTAATGGAAGCGGGGGGGGGGGGGATACGAACCACCTAAGATTGTTTGAGTATACCAGCCCGGCGCTCTGTGTGGACACGCCCAAAGTTGCATTAGTCTTTGATGCATTCCTTTGGCGTGTTTTAATACCAAAAATATTCCTGTTTTTTCTGAAAAACGACGTTTGCTAGAAGCACTGTAAGACAATCTACAACCGCGAGGGCAGCTGGCAACCCACGGTGATGCGGAGCGCGCGTGAGGGCTGACACTGCTGCATTAACCAGGCTCTGCATTATAGATGCAGACTCTAAACAGGCTCGACTGCATACCAATGTACTTGACATTAAACAAAGAATTTGCCCCTTTGTGTTGCATGTCGTTAAGCGATATGGTTTCGTTCCCATGAGCATGCAACACTGAAATAAAAATTTGCAGAAATATTTGACCTCTGACTTGGTCTAGTGGGATTAATTTGCAACAAAACACTATTGCTGATCGCGGGATCTCGTTGCGAGCAATCCGCTGTTGTGTTTTTTCACGAGCCTCTTAGTCTTCCACAATCTTTCTAAGTTTGGAAACGCCGGGGGGTCTCAGACGCTGTTAGTCGGCATGATGAAAACTGGTGATGTTGGGTGAGGATAAAACCTTGGTTACAATCCTTTTTTATGCATTTTACACATACTGTGGAAAAATCTTAATTTAAAATCATGGAAAAAATCAGCTGGTATACCAAGATGATACCTTTTATTAACAATACCCATACATTGGTACCAATTGAATCAGCGAACCAAAATGACCACACACTAAGAAGCAAACAAATGTAACCTCATCTGTAATACTTCTTACACACGATGAGGAAGTGTCAGCTAAAATTATTTTCTGGGACGGCATCTCACTCTTATGTTGACTGGGAGGCCCCTATATGCTGATTTTCAGCTAGCACTTCTATCTGGAAGATTTTTTTTAATTGGGAAAAAGTTAACAACACAAACCTATTTTTCCTGGGCTTCACTGTTTGGCCATGAACCATATGCTGTTCAAAAGATATCTTTCATGGAAGACAAGCAAATTCAGAATAACAATGACCTTTAAATGAAACAAAACTGACTAAATCTGTTGACAAGCGCATTTAGGAAATGGAAGGCTATGAGACCAAATGGCTTACTACCCCCCCCCCCCCCTCCCGTCCCTTTAATTCAGGGGTGCAGCCAGGGCCTTAGCAAGGGGGCACAGGGTTCAGAAATGGTACCCTGAGGCGCCCCCCGAAAATCACCGGATATAGCCCATTTGTTATTGAGGACACTATTTTCCTGAATAAATATGTATACATCTATATCACATTTCGCCTTCTATAACTGGAATAGGCATTACGCTACCGCGAGATCAATTTTGCCTGAAGTTTATAGCAGATAAACTGACAAAATCATGCGTTAATTGACGGCACGAAATCAATCGCCGGTGCTCGCCATTTCACAATGGCCCAGTGGTCTTTCTTTAAACCGACAGAACTCAGAAACTTCGTCAGAATTTTTATCTCGGTCGTATAGAGATAGCAAGGATTCCGCAAACGTAGATTGAAGATAAAGGTAGGTGTACGATTTGTATTAACATGGCTTGGCCATGTTTGCCTGGATATGTTTAAGATTCAGTCAGAATCGATAAGTATTACAAGTTATTCAC